TGTTCCATAGATTGAAGAACAGATTGGTCAAAAATTCTGCTTAAATATTAGTATTATCATTTAGTAGTTTTCTCAGGGTTCAACGACAAAACAATTATCAATGAATGACTTTATCTTTTTTTTTATTATTACAAAAATGTTTACGAACAAATATTGAAGTGCTGACGTTGACATGTCCTTAAAAGTTTACCGTTGAACATATCTAGCGAACTATGATAATTTTATTGAGCAAAAAATTGTTAGAGGTAAAACCTATTTACTGTACCTATTATTGTTGGAAAATTCAACAAATGGGCAAATCCATTTTGGAAATTGATAATTATATGGACAACACAATAAAAACGTAGTCTTTTCTGGATGAAGTGTAAAAACAATTAATATAATATCGAGTTGTCCAGTAATTAATTGAAGAACTCTTGTGGCAAATTCATATCTTTATTGTGATGTCTTAGAACGCCTTTCCAGGCATAATTTTGATAAAATTATAATTATAATATAAAAATGAGAACGATGATGACTTTAATGAGAAGTTTCAAAAGTAGAAACCCCATATTGGCAAGCAATTCTGTCAGGTAAGTAAGTCTACCAGATTTGGCTACAACGAAGCAAACCGTAAATTTATCACTCTATTGACTAATTGTAAACTAGAATTGTTTGTCTATTATAATGGTTGAATTGAATAATTATTTACATTACCATGTGGTAGAAAAATTGTTCTAATATCGAAAATTAAAAAATGATCATTAGAACATCTTTTTCTTGAATCAGTTTTATAAAGACCTTTATATATATATATATTTTTTTTTTTTACTTAATACCTATAATTACCTGTGACAACATTTACATACAGATTTTGTGTACTATTATGCAACACCTAGTTTTTTTTTCAAAATATTGAAGTGCATATTTCAATTATAATAATGTTGACTCTATTGCCACCATCAATGTTTCAGAAATAATATATCTATAGTGAATAATATGCGCTCATATTTTTATCAAAAGTGTTTACTAATCTTTACACGATGGAAAAATATGTTTTTCATAAGTGACGAAATCCTAGCGACCTCAATATTTACACTTGTTCTCAGCCAGTTGTTTTGAATTTTCATTTTGTTTTCGATTTTTGATCACTTACCTTTTATTAATCAATATCTTAATTTATAGTGTTTACTTTTAAGTCTCAATGAGGGATCTAAACGTAGACAAACTCAGGTCTTAGGTAAAAAAATCCCACCAGTGAAAACTGAATGAAAATTTTTTTTGCACTTGTTAAAATGATCTATCAGAGTCCTAAACCCACACTGGCGGCACTTGTTTATTAATTTAACCATGACCCAAATGGAAGAACACTGACAATAGGTTCAGATATCGAAAATCTCGTCATACTCGTTTGTTTTTGTACAATACACATTAGAATTTCCTATAGTTTTAGCATTCGACCAGTTGATTGTGGCGGCATGTGCATCGTGCAGGGGTATGTGTGTAGATGGCCGTGCAGTTCCTCTACTGGGCCGATAATTTCTAACAAGGTTAAACAGATGGATTATGCAATGCATCTATTATCCTGTCCCGTGTATAATCCATTCGAGATACGATTAGGTCGGTGTAAATTGGGCACGCACGTCATTCTGTATCACGGAACGCAGTGTGTTCTACGATTACATTTTGAAAACTCGCATCGCAATTATGAAAAGGGTTAAGAAAAACTAATGCTACGAGGTTTCATATTCAACTATGATGGTCTACAAATATAGTACTGCAGTATCATTTGATTAATATTTGTATATTTTAAAATACCGTTTTTTTCGAATTTTCAAATTTTTTCTGTCGTCATCTATGAATTATCTATACAGGGTCGCTCTTTTGTACAGGGCAAAATAAAGAAAGTGTTAAAAATATCATAAAATATGAGGAACTGATATATATAACACCTATTAGGAATATTGTAGATCTTGAGGTCTTTTATATTCCGTTAAAAAATATAACGGGTTGCACTTTGTACGATTTTGTGAACACTCTTTATGACATTTATGAACACTTCAGAATTTACGGTGAACCTAGTACAACATGTGTGACGATTGCTTAGTATCTTAGTAGATTGTATCTCAAAAAATGAGCATATCCGCAACGATCAAATGTAACGCCGAAATTGTCATTTTTTTATATTAAAATATTAGTAATATCTCGAAAACGGCTGATTTTTGGCACATATAATACCTATTACGAAAAAGTATATAAATGTGTACTCAAATACGGGGTGTTCCATTTAAAAAAATACAACATTGGTCAACCCTCCTAAAACTAATCACCCTGCATAAGTCAAATTATCCCCCCCCCCCATCCGAACCTATTTCGAAATATTTTGCCTTCTAGCGATAAATCAACTTTGCCACGACTCACCCTGTACATATACAGGGTGGTCCTGAGGTATGGGCCAAAATTCATGGGTACATTCTCGAAGCAAAAATATTGCGATTTAACCGAACTTACCTTAGTCTAATAGTTAAAGATACAGGTAGTTAAATGTAAAATATTATTTTAGTTTTTTTATTTAAATTTTAATAAATGCAAATATCCACACAAAATTTTGGGGTTTGGAGTTCTTTGGGTCGAGGAATTGAAATCTGTTCACTTTTGGTTATAGTCCATAGAGGGCGCTAGCTGCAGTAGACTGAATGTGTTTAAAAACGACATAACTTTTTTATACTTTAAGGTCTAAATAATTTTCTTGACATATGGCTTGGCAAACTCGCAATTCGTTGGTGCGTATGCATAGATGATTAGCATTCAGGAATAACTGTTCTCAAGATGTTCATATGCATGAATAAATTTAAAAAAAAATTATATATCTACCCGAAAATATTTGTAATTTTGAAAAAATTTTTTGTGTCTTTCAAAACACTTATTATGTTACTGAAAACAGTACTAACATTTTTTTTAATAAAGAACTCTCAAACACTCTACATCATCGTGGAAAACTATTTTTCCCTGAAGTTGCTACTTCAAAAAATATAAAAAAAATTGTATACTAAAAAAATGACTTTTTCAGCTGTTTTGGAAAATCAACGATTACTTTGCAGATATTGCGAAAAGTATCAATGTTTGTAGGGTTTTTTTAGCTCAATACATACGTTTTCCTTTCCTGAATCGTCCAAGTTTTATAAAAAATTAAAGGAGCAGATTTATTGCTCCTTACCAGCAATCAATTATGATTAAGATGAAACAAATTTGTTTGCGTTATTTTGCTCACAATTTTGCGTTATATACTCATCAAATATCGAAATAAAAAATAAAAAATTTTGAAAAAAAATTTTTTTTAAATTAATTAAAAAAATTTTTTTTCTCGACATTTGAAATATTCAATGTAAAATTGTAAAAGGACGCAAAATTTTTCTTTTAATTTTGAAAAATTTGTTTTTCAAAATCGATTTTCTTTTCAAAATTTGAATCTTTGTCTTTCAATATTTGATGAGTATTTAAGGCGAAATTGTGAGAAAAACAACGCCAAAAAATTTTTTTGATCTTAATCAGTATAGTATCAATATAATAATCAATAAATCTGCTCCTTCAATTTTTTTTATAAAACTGACGATTGTATTGAGCTAAAAAAAACTAGAAATACTTTTCGCAATATTTACAAAGCAGTCGTTGATTTTCCAAAACAGCTGAAAAAGTCATTTTTGCACTTTTTCAAATTAATGGTAAGTAAAAAAATTTCTCAAAAGTATCAAAAGGCCCTTTGAATCAGATTTCCAAAACCCATCTTTCGTTCACTGTACAATCGTTAGTTGATGAGATCGATAATAAAAAAAAATGACTTTTCACTCAATAGCCGATATCTCAATGAAAACTAATGGTACAGAAAATAAAAAAAAAAACAAATTAAAATTGATCACCCAGGCATCGATTAGGCTAGAAAAAATTTTTCTGAACGCGTGCAGTTTTGAAAAAAAAAATTAAATTTTTGTCTTACATTATTTCTTTTGAGCCGAGCGTGACGCTCGAAAAAAATTTTCATTTCAAAACTTTTTCAAATCATCAAGCTTCAAGATGCTTTGGAGTGTAAATAAAAAAATGGTTTTCGGTAGAGCACGTTTGTTACCCTATAACATTTTTACAAAACATTTTCGGATGTCCATATCCATATAACTTTTTGCTTAAATTTATATTTCCTTTCTTCAGTTTTAGTTCGTCACCATATCTTAGAAACATCCTGTATATTATTGTAAAGTATCAAGTATCGAACTGTACTTGTTTTATGATAATTTTAGCATTTTTATTTTTAAATAAAGCTGTATTTATTTCGTAGGTATCTTAAATGTCAGGAAAATCCGTTTAAAAATTTTGAAACAGGTCAGAAAAATTTTTACTTCACAAAGCAATCATCTAACATAATAAATTTCTAAAATGGGTCACACTGTTCCGCGTCTACGGCACTGGTTACCACGAGTTATTTCTCCTTGAGTCTCTCTAACGGTGCTGTTAGAACTTTCGTCGCATAGCACAAAGTAAAAATTCAGCTGCCTACAATTCCTTCTTCGTCTTCTTCGTTCCCGTGGAATTTCCTTGCGTTACCGCGTCAAGTGCTAGTTTCTTTTGTTTTAAGTTTTAAGCAACAGCATAAAATAAAGTGGACATGAAATGGGCTATTTGGGGTCACATTTCATTAAAAATTCCAAAGGTATTACAAAAAATGTTTCCGTTTCTCGAAACCGACTCTGAAATCCATTGGGCAACTTCGAAATTTTGCAGTTTGGAAAGTAAGTAGGCACCTACCTACTCCACAAAGACTAGGCAACGAACCAGCAACGCTAACGCTATATTACAGCTTATAGCTATCCAGCTAGCAGGGAATATTTTTCATCTAACCTAACCTTTCGCAGTGGGCATGCAGGTGGGCCGACTCCGGCCGGAGCCGCGCGAGACCGCCCGACCGATTCAGACCGGTCTTGGTGCTTGCTGTATTTTCGTGCGCCTACTAGTAATAGACGGTGCTACGTTGATGCTGTACGTGTGTGACTAAAATTTGTGTACTGTGTGTTCGATTTTAAACAGAGATGTTGCACCACGCAACAATGTCGCCCCTCAGTCCAAATTGAAAATGTGGTTTGAATCGCAGGTAAGTCCCCCTTTCACTCTAAAAAATCCCATGAATTAACAGAGAAATCTGCCTTTCTAGAACCGAGAACGAAAATTACAAATAACTCTGTAAGTCGCTTCGAGTGCTAAAATACTAACATATAAAACTGTATAAAAATACTTCTCGTTTTTCCGATTTAGGCAAGAATTAGGCGTAAAGTCTTTGTAGAAACATCGACCTATTGCCTTCATGGACCCATTCCCACAGCTTACCATACGAAACCACCGAATTATCAGTTATAAATTGTTAAATTCTTGTTCCACGTGACAACTGTCAAACTCGATCTAGTTACCTATGCTATCTCCGCATGTGTTTTGTTTTGAAACGAGCGGGATCGCAGTGTGCATTGAAATGATTTTATGCGCAGTCGCCCAGTCGATTAGTCGATATCTGCGGGCGTCGATGCCGCTTACGTCGCGTCCACGATACGCTTGGCCGACTGGACATTACTCTTGTACTTCCAAGACTTAAATGTGGAGGGAGACGGCGCCACACTCAGACGGTGCTGTTTACGACGCTTGCTTGTTTTTTTCGCCGCTCTTTACGGAAATTTAACAACTATTGTTCTTCGGGAGCGTTTAATTCTGCACATCCTCCTGAATTTTTTCGTGTGGACTCGAAATATTTCTTAAAAAAATTTGATTTCAAATTTCTACGTAGCAAAATTATGCTTTTAACTACGAAGTATGAGAAACGATGAGACGTTAATTTTTATTGAGGTTATGTCATACCGGCTTTAAAAAATAAACGTAAGCGTTTTCAAACCGGGACAGACGCGAGTTTGGTATCCTGATGTTTTTTTTATAGTTTTTAATAGGTATAGGTAGATGCTGTTTTCAGTATACTTATTTAGTTGCACGTTTTAATGGAAGTATGATATAAAATGCCTATCTTTTAATTTAGATTTATTAAATATTTTTCAATTTTTTTTATAACAATTCTCAGATATACCTAAGTGGGTATATGACTGAATTATACAAATTATTATTAATCGAATGTAATTAAAGCGGTCTGAAAAATTAACTCGCGAGTTGAAAATTTCGGATTCCTACTTACGGTAGGAACAACGCATGTCGGCTTCTTGTCTTGTGTACAACTCGATGGTCGTTACGCCCACCGTTGCCATGGTAATCACACCAACACTATGGTACGTTAGAACTGACAAAACGGCAGAGCACGAATCGATGATAAAAGTGAACTACACACATTGTTTTTTTACAGGTCGTGCATTAGATTTTTTTAATTTGTACTACATGCTCAAATTCACATAAGACATTTCGTTAGTGAAGAATTTCATAAATTTACGAGATTAAAAATTTGAAATTGTTGAATGGTGGACTTTGTTTTATTGAACTGCTTTTAGGTTTCGAAGTGTGCACAAATAGCTAGTTCTAAGTATGTAGAATATTTGGATGGCGTTTCAGCCAGCGAAAATTCCCAGTGTACGTAGGTACTGTAATTTGTTGTTAACTTTGGAAACCGGCCGTATACAATAATAGTCGGGATATTTCTGTTTGGAATTTCTATTTTCGACGGTTGCCAAAGCGGCAGAGCTTCACGTAGACGTTGGCGCGCTCCTCGAAATAGTTTTTAAAAATAGCGGGCTTAAATTCGAAAACGCAAATTCGGGCGCGTGCACATACAACTACACATCCGGAACCGAAGCGGCATATCTGTGCACGTATCCGACCGGCGCGATATATTAAATAATAATTGTAGTTTTTTTACGACAGGCGCTAAACAAATTAGCGTTGTTTAACGAGCCTAGCGTTTAATAAAGCCCGATCACATGACCCGATAGTCGTGTGCCAGCCGTATGCACAATGATTTACGGCTGGATTTAGTAAATATATTGTAATGAATTAGTTCCTAGGCGTTAGTGTGACGTCACACGGCGAGTATAATGTAGTTTATGAATGGGCATAAATATAAAAATGTAATCGCACTATTAAGATGTCATATCAACAAGTTGTAACAATAATTATTACGTTGGGATAGGTTATTACACCGATTAATTATAACATAGTAATAGTATTTTTATGTAAATATGTCAGATAAAACGTTTCATTGTTTTGTTTATGTTTTGTTTACATTTTTAATGATCGCACTGAATTAATAACGACGTGCCGTAACACTGCCGATACTAATTCATTTGTGTGATCGGAACGCCATAAATGGTTCGATTGCGGGACGGGTTTTTTCCTTCACAAACTAATTTCTGATTGTTCTCAGGTTAAGAATTCCGTAAAAAGATTATAAGTGGGTAAATCGTCATTCACCATTGCATTTAAAATATAAAAATATTTATCGTATAGGTACTTACTTATATTTTTAATAAATTATTATTTTAACACAACTTAGGGATTATTATTTCTATATACTAATTTTTAATTCTTATATTTCTATTTTTTATATCCTTTTATTATAAGATAGAAATATACAAGATTTACCTATAGTTTATGTAGAAAACTTACGTTCTATTTTAGTAACATCACTACATATTTTTTTTTTTGTTAAATTAATGGGTATACCTACATCTTGTGTATTCTTAGAGCTACTATTTAGTCCGATACAATCTCGTTCTCGGTTATATAAGAGCAAGGGATGATTACAGGCTCGTGTAGCAGCAAACAAGTTGGTTGATCTTTTTGGAACAGAGTATAATAATAATAATTCTAATTTATAAGCGCACTGAATAAAACATAATATTTAATATAGGTATCACATAATAGATCCTGTGCGCAAATGCGACCTTCCGAATAATAATAATAATATGCAACCCCTACTCCTAATCTTTGCGATTGTAATGAAGGGTAGAGATGTTACTGTCAATGTGGTGATTTCCATAAATACAATTTATATTAAATATTGGAAACACATAAAATACTTATAAAACAAAGTCAATAAATAAAATTTTTTGTCATGTTTCATTGAAATTCTTCGAAATATTAAATGGGCGGAATAATGTCTTTATTGGAAACTTCAGAATTAAGAATTTTCGTTTACATTCATATTTGCAATTTTGCTGCCTTTATCATATTGTTATGTTAGTAGTAAATGTAAAACAAAAATATGTTTCAGTACCCATAAATTAAGAATTATGAAATTATTAATTACAAAACTGGGAGTAAAATTTAAAAATGGCACCTTTAATGAAGAAATTAATAAAAAGTCGCAAAGTTTTTTAAGTCGCACTAATTCTGTAATAATGAATTATACCAAACTTTTCTTTGGATAAATAGGCAGTTTTCTGACACACTCTATATCTACAGGGTGGCTGAGAAAAATCTGTTGGTCATTGCATGAAAACATCTGTCACATTGTCCATTTCAGAGTACCTAAAATGTATTTTAATACGTATTTCTTTTTTTGTAGAAAAAGTCTCGTTTAAAGAGCTCAAAGCATCTGTAGTAGATATTTTTATAAGACGATCGAGTGCCTAACAATGTAGAAGGCGAGGTAAAATTGAGAGAGAATAACCGCCGCAGAAGACACAATAGTTTCAGTTGGGAATTTGCGAAGCACTTGTTGCACGGAAACAAGAACGTATACGGAAGCGAGCTGCACCGTCGAGAATCCAATAAGACATTTAAAAACGTGTCCGGGAATTCCCGTTAGTCATTATTAGAAAAGTTTAAAGGAAGGCTGAGCCCTTTAAGAAGGTCAGGAACGGCCGTCTCGCCGACGGCAACGAACAAGGGATAGAGAGACGTGCGACGGACAAAGACGAGGAGAGACGTTATGAATGGGCAAGTAGTTGGTTGCCGAGTAGCCGGTCACATTCTTGCATTACTCATTCCTTTATCTTGTACTACTTATGCGAAATCAAATCCCATTCCCCTTTTGATGTCGTAATCGAAAGTGAGCTCTCCATTCATGGCGAGAGGAGAGAAGACGACGTCGTCGCTCGCCTCTTCTTCTTGTACGTGAATTCACGTCTACTATATTCCCGATTCATATGCTCATGTCGCCGGCAGAACACACGATCCGCCTCTATTTGGGTCACGGACCCCGTGATAAAACTTACAGCACACTTTGCTCCGGCGACGGCGAGGACGTGCATACATGCGGCCGCCACCGCCGCTGCCGCCCCCCCTGCACATATTTACGAGACTTGGCGGGCTCGTATGCAGAACGCGGAATGCGAACAATGCGATGCCAACTACGGCTAAACAGTAAACATGCATTAAGAAACTATTACGTGTTCATCCCGTCAACAGGGTTAAGTGTGTTACGGGGTCTCCGATTCCGCTCCTCTCCGCGAACTTGAAAGTTTGCACGAGTTTGTGAAGTACGACTCGAGAGAGGTGTGTTTACTGATAACAACGTCGAAGGTTTCGGTGTAAACTGTCCCCGCGACAATACCTGGAGAAAAAAGCTGTACCTTATTTAAGAAACCGAAAAGACGAAGCAGATCCCGGTAGATTGAATAACAGGACCTGACAACATCGTCCTTAAGTTAAAAACATAAAATAAACCCGGATAGAATGGTTGACTATGTATCCAGTTCTTATAGTACCTATAGAAAAACCCTGATGCTCTGAAAATGCTCTAGAAAATTATAAGTTTGCTCCACATTATTCCAATAAAGTCAGTCCCGAGTTGAAACAATGCAGAATGGTTAAAATGAGAAACGGAAAATATTTAAAATATTGCATATTAAAAATATGTAATGTATGTAATTCCAATCTTTGCTGGCCCTTTTTTAAATATTTAACACACATAAAATCAAATTAACTGAAATACCATATCACCTGCTCTATGAAATTCCTCAATTTGTGGAATTAAAATTATATCTATTTTAAACAATGTAGGTATTCGTAAATTATACGAATATCCATTAGTGAGTGTTCATGTAATCACCAAAGCAGTATACCCAAACATGTCACCTAAAATCTTTAGAGAAATTTATATTTGCAAACACAGCTAGATGGATTATTCGAGTCCACTGATATACATCGGACAAAGAAACATTTGTG